GGGTGGGGTGTCTATTTTGTTCCCTTCCCTCACTCTCATCTCTAGGCTCTGGCCTAAAACCTGGCACTATCTCAGGAAGGAGTCAGCGCACAGAAAGGGAAAGCCACCTGCCTGACTCATCCTAGAGTGTAGCAGAGCCAGCCTGACCCCTGTCTATTGCTCCTCTGCAGAGCCTTGGTCCTGCTATATTTTAATGGTAGCCTGACTGTTAGGAAACTGAGGTAGTGTCTCTCCTGCTGCAGCAGCAAGAGGCATGGTCAGGACAAGGAGTGTTTGTGGTGATGACAGTGGTCCCAGGGCCCAAGCCCTGTTTAATGATCTGGGGTAGGGTGCAAAGGAGGGGCAGAAGACTGGATTTTGTCACTTGCCTTTCACATCTTTGGCCCATATTTTACACTATATAGGCACATTTCCTGCAGTCTTTGCTTCCTTCCAGACAGAGAAGCTAGACAGCCTGCAGGTCACTTCCTGAAGGAAGGTCCTACTCCCAGGTACTCTTCTCATCCTTCTGCTGCTCTCCCTTCGCACTCAGGGACGTCCAGAACAGCTGGCAGGTAGCTCTGCTCATTGGTGTGGATTGTCTGGGCTGCACTGTGCCTAGGTGTGCAGTCTGTCTTGAGCCTGTGTCCTCATGTAAAATGGGCATAGGGGATAGTATTGAGCCTTAGAGGAAAAGCAGAGTATGTGCTGTGTGCCTACAATCCCAGCATTTAGGAAACTGAAGCAGGAGGATTGCTGAGTTGAGGCAAGTCTGAACTATACAGTGAAACCATGTCTCAAAAAAAAAAATCTTCTTTTTATGTTTATTTTTTATTTAAAAGAGTCTGGAGAGATGGCCTAGTGGTTAAGGCTCTTGCTCCTTTCCCAAAGGATCAGAATTTGGTTCCCATATCAGGTGACTTACAACTGCCTGTTGCTCCAGTGTCCTCTTCTTTTTTTTTGTTTTGTTTTGTTTTGTTTTGTTTTGTTTTTCAAGACAGGGTTTCTCTGTGTAGCCCTGGCTGTCCTGGAACTCACTCTGTAGACCAGGCTGGCCACGAACTCAGAAATCCGCCTCGCCTGCCTCTGCCTCCCAAGTGCTGGGATTAAAGGCGTGCGCCACCACCGCCCGGCTCCAGTGTCCTCTTCTTAAGCAGGGCAGTGCTGCGTGATTCCAGAGAGACTTAGAACCATGACGTCCATGGCGATGGGTAGCCACTCAGTGACTACTGATCAGTTTCTGTTGTGCAAGACAAAAAGTCAGTGCAGTAGATAGTGGAGCATCTGAGCCACAGCTCTGCTTCACAGCACTTGTGGGACATAGGAGTGGCACAATGGTTACATTTATAGTAGTAATCTCATCAGGTCTCAGAGCCAGCCAAGAAAGCCATGGGCAGCATAGTGGATTCTGGACCTGCCCGGTTCCTAGCCTGTGCATGGCGAGCTGCCCCCAGTGTGGGTACTCACTCTTCTTGCTCCCTGGGCTGCTGGAGGGTACTGCACCGCACCACTCCAGTCCCTCCCTGAGGCAGGAAGTGAGAGGGGTCGCCCTGCTGGCTCTACCCAAGCCACATCCACCTGAAACTGCTTGCTTACCACACCCAGATCCACACCCATCCCTGCCCACTTCCACCCTCTTTTTGAGAGTGCCTCTGTGTTTACTACTCACCATGCTATGGACTGCTGTGCTAAAGAAGCATCTAGTCTGGCTTGTGGAGGTGGAGGACGGTAGCAGGTCATGCCAGCTCAACTGCAGAAGTCATATGCCTGCCATTAGGGGTTGTCTGCTATACAAGTCACACAGGCCCAGGCCTCCTCTGGGCTTCAGTCCTCTTCCCTCTCAGCTCTGGAGTCAGCCCACACTGTAGCCTGAGGTGGGGTACACTTTGGATGTGTTCATTACCCTCACAGAGCCTAGAAGGGCTACATAGAATCCAGAATGTGCTTGGAGATGGGGGAGGGGCAGGTGGCTAGCATGAATAGATTGGATTGTCTCCTTCCTAAGGGAGGTAGCAGGTCTTACTGCTCAGCAGTCTGCCCAGGCTGCTTCACCTGCATCTTAGACCCTGACCACTTCTTTGCTGAGCTTGTCTGTATATATATATTCCATGAATTGACAGGCCCAACTCCTCACCAGAAATCAAAGGAAGTACTGTGGAGTGGAAGTCACAGCCAGAAGCCGACCTGACCCTAATTGTCTGTCTGTCTGTCTGTCTGTCTGCCCCAATCAGTCTCCTGAAGGAATAGGACAAGATATCTCATTCCCTCGGGTCCTAAATCTTTACCCATCCCCTTCTCCAGTCTTCAGCTATTTTGGATGAGCCCTTAGAGCCAGGAAAGATACCTTCAGCGGTTCTCTGCTAGAGGTCAGCTGTGTGATTCAGCCAGCCCTCCCCACTCCGTGCCCCTCTCTCCCAGAAGTGTGGGTGGTGTACAGAGCCAGCTGGTCATTAGGGGGCTGGGGCCTTCCTGTAGGATAGGCACTCATCCTGGCCCAAGAATCCAGGCCTCACCAGGAGAACTGTCTTGGTGGCTGCAGGACTAGGGCTGGTGTTAGTGTCTGCTGGCCCTGAGGCGACCTAAACAATGGGAACCCAGGAATGGGGACTCTGACCATCTGCAATGGTCTCTTTAACACCATGTGTATCAGGCACCTCCTGTGCTTGGGGACCCCAAGCAAGAGGAGTGCAAACTTCATAGAGCAATGAAGCCTGAGCTTAGCCAGGAGGAGTGGGCTGATGTCTGACTTGATAAAAACTGACATTGGGCAGGTGTTTTGCCTCCCTGAATCTGTTTTCCTGTCTGTGAAACAGGTTAAAGAAGACAGACAGAGAGTCCCTTAGAGCCAGTGTGGGAGGAGCCTGCACCCTGCTGTAGCTATTGCCACTTGTACCAAGTGCGCAGTGCCTCCAGGCTCACACAGATATCCTCAAGAGACCGGACGGGAACACTTGGCCTTTGTGGAGAGGATTACCATGAAGGACCTGTTACTACTGCCACGGTCAACATCAGTATGAAAATACAGTAGGCCCCTCCGCTGGGTGTCCCATCCTCTTCTGAGAAAATTACACCTATTTGACACAGTATTGAAAATTGGTGTGAGAGGCGGGCGGTGGTGGCACACGCCTTAATCCCAGCACTTAGGAGGCAGAGGCAGACGGATTTCTGAGTTTGAGGCCAGCCTGGTCTACAGAGTGAGTTCCAGGACAGCCAGGGCTACACAGAGAAACCCTGTCTCGAAAAATAAAAAAAAAAAAAAGAAAAGAAAAGAAAAGAAAATTGGTTTGAAAACTAGACTCTGATCAAGAACATATGGTGTTAAGTAAAAGCATAATTTCACTTTTTAAAATGGCAGTAGTGATACAGCTCTTGTATAGCATGCTGGAAGCCTTAGGTTTGGTATTTAGCAACTCATAAACTGAGTGTGGTGGCTTAGGGAGTACACAGGATCAGAAGCTTAAGGTCATCCTTGGTTGTGTGTTGGATGAGTCTGAGGCCAGCCTGACACTAGGTAAGACCCTATCTCAGATATCGAACCAGAAGCTAGTGAAAATGCTGAGGGCAGCCGAGTTAGCTGGGCCATGGTTTCTCCCTTCATCTCATGCCTTTTATAGTTTTCTAGATGGTCTCTAGTGAACTTCCAGGGATAGATACTTTCTATAGCCCACTCACTACAGTTTTGTAGAGCAGAGTAAGCTTAGTTAGCCTCCTCGGCAGAATGTTCTGGGATTCCAGGGACTCCTCTCACACTAGTGTTTGTGGCACAGGCCAGCTCTTCCTAAAGCAGCTCCTGGTCCAGCATTGCTCACCCTAGGCCAGCCACTGGAGCCTCAGACACCAGTTAGACACCAGTTAGACACCAGTTAGACCCAGATTTCCAGGCTTCCAGTCCAGCCAGGTGAGCTCCCTGGGGAGGCTTTCCTTCACTTGCTGTTTACAGCCTCCTTCCTCACACCACAGATCACTCACAGGAAGTTACCCATAGCCTCCCTCTTGCACCCCCACCTCCAGGAGTCCCTCACTAGACCTGCTGTCTCTCTCCATAGCCCTGTTTATACCTACTGTGTATAAATGTGGAGATGTGTTTTGGTTTCTATTGTTTTTGAGACAGGGTCTTACTATGTAGCCCTGGCTAGTCTAGAACTCTTTATGTAAACCATGCTGGCTTCAAACACACAGAGATGTGCCTGCTTCTGTTGGAACTAAAGGTGTGTGCCGCCACTGCATTTGTAGATTTTTAGGCTTCATGATTTATTTTATAAGAGGTTTGGAGGGCTAGAGGATGAGTCAGCAGTTTAAAATGCTGGATGCACTTTCAGAGGATCTGCCTTCAATTTTTAGCACCTACATGGTGCTACAAGCTTCTGTAACTTCAGTTCCGTGAGAATAAGACTCCCTGTCTGGCCTCTGTGGGTACCAGACATGTACTGGTACACAGTCATACATGCAGGCCAAACACCCATATGTATAAAATAAAGTAATTTAAAAAGTTGTTTTGCCAGGCATGATAGTGTATACCTCTAATCCCAGCACTTGGGAACAGAGGCAGACATCCCTTTGTGAATTTAAGGCCAGCCTTATCTACAGAGTTCTGGGCTAGCCAGGAGTACATAGACTCTATCTCAAAAAACAAAACAAAACCAAAAAAGACTGAGTTCTTGGTCTTCCTCACTGCAAAAATTCCTCCAAGTCACTGCTGCCACTTCATGGAGCTGGTCCTTGGGCTACAGTTTGGGTAGGTTTTTGTTGTTTGGTTTTTTTGTTTTGTTTTGTTTTTGACAAATTCTCTGTGTAGCTCTGGCTGGTCTTGAACTCATTCTGTATACAGACCAAGCTGGCCTGGAACTCAGAACCCTGCCTCTGCCTCCTGAGTGTTGGGATTAAAGACGTGTGTGTCACTACACCTAACTTGTAGGATGGAGTTTTAGACAGTGGTGGAATTTTTATCTTCTTCCCTCATCCTTGGGGTCCAGACTTGTGAGACTGCCTCGTGGTAAACCCCTCTTCTGGGTCCCTTTCAGGTTAAACCATGATTCCAGTGACAGAGCTCCGCTACTTTGCGGACACACAGCCAGCATACCGGATCCTGAAGCCATGGTGGGATGTGTTCACTGACTACATCTCCATTGTCATGCTGATGATTGCTGTCTTTGGGGGGACGCTGCAAGTCACCCAGGACAAGATGATCTGCCTACCTTGTAAGTGGGTCACCAAAGACTCCTGTAACGACTCCTTCCGGGGCTGGGCAGCTTCCAGCCCAGAGCCCACATACCCCAACTCCACAGTCCTGCCGACTCCTGATATAGGCCCCACAGGTATCAAGTATGACCTAGATCGCCACCAGTACAACTATGTAGATGCTGTGTGTTATGAGAACCGCCTGCATTGGTTTGCCAAGTACTTCCCCTACCTTGTGCTCCTGCACACCCTCATCTTCCTGGCCTGTAGCAACTTCTGGTTCAAGTTCCCACGCACCAGTTCGAAGCTGGAACACTTTGTGTCTATCCTGCTCAAGTGCTTCGATTCACCATGGACCACACGGGCCCTGTCAGAGACAGTAGTGGAGGAGAGTGATCCCAAGCCAGCCTTCAGCAAGATGAACGGCTCCATGGACAAGAAGTCTTCTACAGTCAGCGAGGATGTGGAGGCCACTGTGCCCATGCTGCAGCGGACCAAGTCACGGATTGAGCAGGGCATTGTTGACCGATCTGAGACGGGCGTGCTGGACAAGAAGGAAGGGGAGCAGGCGAAGGCACTGTTTGAGAAGGTGAAGAAGTTCCGGACCCACGTGGAGGAGGGGGACATCGTGTACCGGCTCTACATGCGGCAGACCATCATCAAGGTGATCAAGTTCGTCCTCATCATCTGCTACACCGTTTACTATGTGCACAACATCAAATTCGATGTGGACTGCACCGTGGACATTGAGAGCCTGACCGGCTACCGCACCTACCGCTGTGCCCACCCTCTGGCCACCCTCTTCAAGATCTTGGCATCCTTCTACATCAGCTTGGTCATCTTCTACGGTCTCATCTGCATGTACACACTGTGGTGGATGCTGCGGCGTTCCCTCAAGAAGTACTCGTTTGAGTCGATCCGAGAGGAGAGCAGCTACAGTGACATCCCAGACGTCAAGAACGACTTTGCCTTCATGTTGCACCTCATCGACCAGTATGACCCTCTCTACTCAAAGCGCTTCGCTGTCTTCTTGTCTGAGGTGAGTGAAAACAAACTGCGCCAGCTGAACCTCAACAATGAGTGGACGCTGGACAAGCTGCGCCAGCGGCTCACCAAAAATGCCCAGGACAAGCTGGAGCTGCACCTGTTCATGCTCAGCGGCATCCCTGACACTGTGTTTGACCTGGTTGAGTTAGAGGTCCTGAAGCTGGAACTGATACCCGATGTGACCATTCCACCCAGCATTGCCCAGCTCACAGGCCTCAAGGAGCTGTGGCTGTACCACACAGCAGCCAAGATCGAGGCTCCTGCCCTGGCCTTCCTGCGTGAGAACCTGCGGGCACTGCACATCAAGTTCACAGACATCAAGGAGATCCCACTGTGGATCTACAGCCTGAAGACGCTGGAGGAGCTGCACCTGACAGGCAACCTGAGTGCAGAGAACAACCGCTACATCGTCATTGATGGCCTGCGGGAGCTCAAACGTCTCAAGGTGCTGCGGCTCAAAAGCAACCTGAGCAAGCTACCGCAGGTGGTCACGGACGTGGGTGTGCACCTGCAGAAGCTGTCCATCAACAATGAGGGCACCAAGCTCATCGTCCTCAACAGCCTCAAGAAGATGGTTAACCTGACGGAGCTAGAGCTGATCCGCTGTGACCTGGAGCGCATCCCTCACTCCATCTTTAGCCTCCACAACCTGCAGGAGATTGACCTGAAGGACAACAACCTCAAGACCATTGAGGAGATCATCAGCTTCCAGCATCTGCACCGCCTCACCTGCCTTAAGCTGTGGTACAACCACATTGCCTACATACCCATCCAGATCGGCAACCTCACCAACCTCGAGCGACTCTACCTGAACCGCAACAAAATCGAGAAAATTCCCACCCAGCTCTTCTACTGCCGCAAACTGCGCTACCTGGACCTCAGCCACAACAACCTGACCTCCCTCCCCGCTGACATTGGCCTCCTGCAGAACCTCCAGAACTTGGCTGTCACAGCCAACAGGGTGAGTGGCCTGCTCTGAGTGCTCAGAGGACTAGTGTCTCAGGACAGTTGGTGCTCTCGGGTTCTAGAGGCTCTGTGCTCTACAAACAGCAGGAGTCAGATTCCTAGGCCTCATTGCAAGTTTGCTAAACCAGAATCTTGTCACAGTTCAGTTTTATGCTGTAAGAGGTGGTGTTGCCTGTGTTTCAGGAGTGTGCATAACATAGGAATCCCAACACCAAGGTTCTTTTGAAATGGGGTAGAGTTTGTGGTATCTGTCTCCCAACATTTGAGCTGAGACCAGCCTGTATCTCCCCAGCGAGAGAAACTCTGTGGGCGCTTTGCTGGCTGAGGTAAAGCCAGAGGTAAAGCCAGATGGTCTCTGTAGCTCCAACATCACCCATGTCCTCCCTTCTCTGCATCAGAGTGGTGAAGAACAAAGTTAGCTTCCATGGGGTGAGCTCATCCCCACTGCTTTTCTGGAGAGGAAATTGAGGGCCAGAACTGTGGAAAGCAATGCCGTTGAAACTGTAGGTGGCCCCTGTGCACCAGCCCTGTGTGTGACTGGAAAGCCCCCACCAAGAGGTAATGGGGCAGTTAGACGGGCTGAGGGCAGAGCACTTGTGTGGCTTGTGGTCAGGGGAAACCAGCCTGCAGCTACTGGATGGAGGTTAGCTAGGAGGTTCCCTTGTCCTTAAGGCCTACAGGACGTCTTCCTGTAAGAGGTGGGGAGCCTGAGGTTAGGGATGAGGAGACAGCCAATTCAGCCACCACTTCCATTAATCCAGTCCTTAAAGTAGACAGGCACTGCGGGCTCTTGAGTAGGGTTGTGGTGGCCTTCAGCAGCTGTGACACTCCTGCTACCAGCAGCTCTTTCTGCCAGCCTCAGGTATGGAGGGCAATAGATCTAGCTCAGGACTCACCTCTTCATGGCCCAGAATGTGCTTCCTTCATTTGTCCCTGGGGACCTTTAGTGTAGACCAGCCTAGATCCTCCATGTCAGAGGGATTGGGACAATCTTATTTGGCTTGGTTTATGTACATTTGAGAATGGTCAAGGATGATGGTCCAACTCTGATTGTTTCCCCTAGAGCAGGAGCCTCTGAAGAAGTCCATGAAGAAGAAAAACAATGTTTGGGAAGCACTGCACAGGCCAGTCCTCTGTGTGTGTGTGTGTGTGTGTGTGTGTGTGTGTGTTGCTAAGTAGTGTGCTGGTTACTTGGTTACTTCAGGGATTTGGGATGGACTCTCCACCCCACACTCTGAAGTGCCTGTGTGCCCCAGGTGCTGGGCTGGGTTCAGGAAGGTGTGGGCTAGCTTTCAGCCTTGTCTTATTCTGTCCCTCAACCCCAGGTTCTCAAACCAGGCTTGCTTGTTAGTGTCATGCCTATTGGCTGAGGTCATCCCTTAGGGAAGGAGCTGGCGGAGGCATGTTGTCTTGTACTAGAGGAAGGGGACCCTCTGACACCCTCCTTAGCACAGTGCTTAGTCACATCCTGTCTCCACCCCTACAAGCATCCAGATGTCTTTTATAGGGAAAAATGTGCTTGGACCAGTTACAGGCAGGCTGGGCCCTCGTGGATTTGAGACTACAGTAGGGTGGGCAGTGAGATGGGAGGCTTGAACTGGACAAGGCTGCTAGGGACAGAAATGAAGATGAGTCTGGGAGAGCCTGTGGAGGGAGAGTTGTGGGTCACTTTTTGGGGAGGAAGCGTGGGGTTCTCAGGTTTCGTACAACCTGAGCCAGGACCCGAGAGGAGGTGTAGGTCTTCAGAGGAATGATCAGTTGTGCATCCTGTGGGCTCTCAGTGAACTGTCCTAGAACTTTCAGTCATCTTTCCTGTGCTCCTGGATGAAGAGGGATCTTTGGATTAACCATCAAGGAGAAGGGAGAGGGCGAGAGACAAGGATCTGTAGTGAACTTGCGAGTGGAGAGTAAAGTTGGGTTGGAGCATGTGGCTGCTCATGTGTGGGGAGCATGTGGCTGCTCATGTGTGGGGAGCATGTGGCTGCTCATGTGTGGGCTTCAGTGAAAGAACTGATGTGGACTGAGCTTGTGACTGGCCAGCAGCAAGGCTGGCAGAAGGGCAGATTGGGCTGTGTGAGCTCAGAGGTGGCACTTCTCTAGATGGTTGGTCAGGAAGGTTGAAGAGCCATGGAAGAGGCAGCATCCCAGAGGCTCCTGGAAGGCTTGTCCTTATTTGAAGACCAAGTGGCCCTGAGGCCATTTTTCAACACTAATAAGGGAGAGACAGCAGAGGTGAGGTTCAAGGTGATGGGAAACAACTTTCATCCTTCAGTGGACTAGGGACACTAGGGGCAAAGGATGTGTGTGGCCGTGTCAAGGAGCCAGGCACCTTTACTTCTCTGAGGCTAGGGAGTATGTGATGGCAGAGTGATGGTAGTGAGGTTCTGGGGAGAGGTCTGTCAAGGAGGGACCTCTGGAGCCATGGACTGACTGAGTAGACCTGACCCCACCCCTCTCTGGTCAGAACTGTCTCTACTACCTTTGACTTCATCATTAGAGGTCATTGGGTGGTGGCAGTGGTGTCAGTGGCAGCCGGAGTGGGGGCAGGGAGGCAGTGTGGCTACTCTGGAAAGGCTCTGCTCCCTGGGTCCTGCAGGGCCCACTTCCCATCTACCTTTAACTTTTATATCCCTGAACTTCAGATTCTATAGCCACCTTATCCCGTCTCTGGCCCCTGACCACAGCGAAGGAGACATCTCCTTGAACAAACCAGTTATACTCAAGCTATGAGACTATAGCCACACTCGTTTCCCTATGACGTTCAGGTCCAACACTAAAAAAGGGTTCTGACTTAGGAATGCTGGAGATGAGTATTTCTAGTCCAAGCTTTGTGTTTCAAACATGGGAAACTGAGGCCGAGGAAGGCAAGAGGCTTCCTTCCTATTCTTGAACAGGAAGTATTTGGCAGAATGAGAATGTGGTTCCTGTGTGAATGGCGGCCAGAAGCAAAACTTGCATCCTCTCACCAAAATGGGCAGCAACCTCAGACAGTGCATAGCACTGTTTCACCTCTCCGTAGCAGAAACACAGGGAGAGTGGTGGAGTCCCTGAGAGTGGGCATTGTGCAGCTCTACCCAGTCCCTGTGATGTGTTCCTTGCTTTCTAAACACAGAGCATCACTACTAAACCAGACTTACATCATGGCCCCTCCTCCAACTTGCTGGACTTCAGGGCAAGTTATGGTTTCAGTGTATGAAACATTCACAGAGTATTTACTGCTGGTTTTGAACACTGAGTGAGTTAGCAGTGTCTGTGCTGAGGGCTACAGACATGACTCATTGGTTATGAGACTCTTCTACAGGACATGAGTTCAGTTCCCAGCACCTACATCAGGCAGCTCACAACCACCCGGAACTGCAGTTCTAAGCAATCCAGTGCCTTATACTCTATTCTGATCTCAGGCACCCTCACACAAGTGGTCAACACACATAAAAACACATACACATATACACATATAAAAATAGGGTCTGGAAAGCTGGCTTTTCAGTTACCAGTGCTTGCTGTTCCTGCCAAGGACTTGAGTTCAGTTCCAAGCATCTGTACAGCAGCTCCCAACTGTTTCTAACACCCTCTTTTGGCCATTGTGGGTACTAGGCATTATTATGGTGTACACACACGCACACGCGCACACACACGCGCGCGCACGCACTCATAACATAAGAATAAATCCTTAGAGGCTGGATTGATGGCTCAGTGGATGTAAGTACTTGTTGCAGAGAACCTGAGCTGAGTTCTCTAAACAGGATTTTCTCTCTCCTTTTTTTTTTTTTTTTTGGTTTTTCAAGACAGGGTTTCTCTGTGTAGCCCTGGCTGTCCTGGAACTCACTCTGTAGACCAGGCTGGCCTCGAACTCAGAAATCCGCCTGCCTCTGCCTCCCGAGTGCTGGGATTAAAGGCGTGCACCACCACCACCCACCGAGCTGAGTTCTCAGTATCCACAGGACTACTTAAAACCATTTGTTAACTTCAGCTCCAGAAGATGTGATGCCCTCTTCTGGCCCTCCACTAGACATGCACATGGCTGCACATACATACATGCAGGCAAGGACTCAGACACATAAAAATACATAAATCTATAAGACAACAAAACAAAAACCCTAAACAGTATCTGTGCTCAGAGTGAGGCCACCTTGTGATCAGCTGCACATGGATATTGTGTGTTCTTCCCCTGTGGCCAAATTAGGAGGGGTCCTGAGTCTTCAGTACTGGGTGGGCCTCTGTACCCTAGCTAACCTTGTAACTTGATAGATAAGGAAGGCCTGGTCTGGAAGAAGTGCTCTAGTTGGGATTCTGGCCCCCATCAGTGAACTCTCTCCAGTTCCCAGAAATTGCTGCCTTCCATTCAGAAGCTGCTGTTACGCTAGGCAGGACCTTGGCCCAGGGCCCTGGAGGTGGGTGGGGTAAGCGTAGCTGCCAGGTTGATATTCCTCAGCCCAAGAGATGACAGTCAGAAGAATTAGCGTAGTAGATGCTGTAGGACCCATCCTGGAGGCAGTCATGATGGCTTACTGGAGAAAAGTAATTGTGAGTAACTGTTGGGCAGTTTGGGGCCTACAGTAAGGATTGTCAGGATCCAGAGGAACTGAAGTGAAGGCTCTGTCCAGCTACACACCTCACCCTAGCCCTTTGCTCCCTCCTGCAGATCGAGGCGCTCCCCCCAGAGCTCTTCCAGTGTCGGAAGCTGCGGGCTCTTCACCTGGGCAACAATGTACTACAGTCGCTTCCCTCGAGAGTGGGTGAGCTGACCAACCTGACGCAGATTGAGCTTCGGGGCAACCGGCTGGAATGCCTACCTGTGGAGTTGGGCGAGTGTCCCTTGCTCAAGCGCAGTGGCCTGGTGGTGGAGGAGGACCTATTCAGCACACTGCCACCTGAGGTGAAGGAACGGCTCTGGAGAGCTGACAAGGAGCAGGCCTGAGCACTGCCTGGAGGAGCAACAAAGAGCATCAGCACACCCTCAGGCCAAGTGGGCAGCCCAGCTCTCCCAGGACTGCTGGACAGCCAGCTGGGTCCAGCCAGGCAGAGGCTGGGCCAGAGCAGAAAACAGGGACTGAGGGGCTGGTCCCTTTTCTCCCTCTAGAACATGTACACCCAGGACAGGCACTTGCTGGAGACCAGAATCTCTGAGACTAGTCTCAGAGTACAGTATTTGGACAATCAGGGTCTTCACGCTGGAGGCCATCTCTGCCTCAGAGGCTGAGCCAGCACCAGAGGCCCAGGAAGAGTGACTTAGATCTGGGTATTTATTTTTTCCACTTCCCATCTTTTCCCTCCAGATAACTTACACATTCCCAAGAAGGTCCAGCTCTGTGGGAAGTGGTTAGCACCCTGGCAGTGTTCACCTTTTTCTTTTCAGGTGATGCTAAGAGAATCAAGTGCCCACCCAGACTTGGGCAGAGTTGGGTAGGGTGAGCCAGTCTCATGATGGTTGCCTTATTGGCACTGGGCGAGGCTGTGGCAGCAAAGCTTGTGGGAGACCAGGCCTCCAGGTGGAAGGATCAGGCCTGAGGCTTGACCCATCAGTTTTTTAAGCAATTTTAAATTTTTTTTTTTTTTCATGGGTTTTCTTTTTTTTTTTTTTGGGTTTTTTTTTTTTTTTTTTGGTTGGGTTTTTTGTTTGTTTGCTTGTTTGGGTTATTTTGTTTTGTTTTTTGTTTTTGTTTTTTGTTTTGCTTTGAAAATGATGGTTTGGGTATTTAAAAAATTAAAAAAAAAATACACTAAAGGCCAGTGAGTTGAAGTCTCAGGGTGGGTGGTATTTCCCCCTTGAGCAAAGCAGCAAGACATTGAACAAAATTTCCTGTCCCTGGGGTGTGGACCAGGATGTCTTCCCAGTCTGTCCTGACCTTGGTCCAAAAGTGCTGTTTGCTCTTCTCCTCTCCTGGGGCAGGCTTTTATTTTTGTTTGTTTTTAAGGTTTTTTTTTCTGATGTCCTGTTATTTTTTTTTTCTTCTCCTCCATGGGTCTTGGCAGGCACCCTTTTCATGGCTGTCAGCCAAAAGGAAGGCTCTGGAGCTGCCAAGAACGGGGGAGACGTGGGCTGGCTAACTCCCAGATGAACGGTGCTCCAGCCCCCTACCCCCCCCCCACGATGCCCCTCCATGCACAGTGTTAAGGAGCCCAGAGCTGCTGCTTCCCCCCACCTGCCCCCAACTCCGTCCCCACATCATGGGTTTGCTCAGTGCCACCACTCGCCTCATCTGCTTGCATTAGCTCTGTCACCATCTGGTCCCTCATGAAGAGCTGACATTTCGAGGCAGATTGGGCATGAGAGGTCAGCACTGTGAGGGCAGGCTCCCAGTTTGGGGGTTCCAGGACAGTTCGTACTGGGCACCTGGTTTGCACACAGTACAGTTAGCATCTAGTGGCAGTAAGCCACTCTGCTTTAGATCAATCACTAGGGTCCCCACTTAGAAGGGACCTCGCCTTAGATCAATCACATGGACACTAAGGCACGTTTTAGCGTCTCTTGTCTTGATGATTATGTCTGTCTCTCCGTCCATTTGTGTTTTCTGCGTCGTGTCATTGGGTGTAACCCTTGGAAATACTGCACACTAGCCTCTGATAACCATGAAGCAATCCGTTACACATGGGTCTGACTTGTAGACTCAGTTCAGATATCAAATAAATCTATAACACAATTGCCTTTGGAGGTCTCCATACCATAGAACTCGGGGTTGTCCCTTCACTTCTCTGAGGTGTTTTGGACCAGCCTGACTAGTTTGTTGAGGGACCATTGCTCTGCTCACATCTCTGCCCTGTGAAACTTGAGCACGGTCTGCCAGATGTGGTGAGCCAAACAGAATACCTGTAAGCTCCAGGCATGGTTCCTGATGCGGGGTCTGTGGCCCACATATTTTCTGTTGTCCCGGGCACCTGTTGTTTGGGTCCTCACAAGCTTTGATTGGTCAGGGCTAGAAGACACATCTAGAATGAGAGTCAGAAGCCAGAAGCCTTTGTTCCAGCCCAGTTGTCTTGTGCACGAAGCTAAGCCCATCTCTTCCCTCTTGTGGCCTCTATATCCCTATCTGTGCCTTGGGCATCTACACCATACTTTCAGAAGATGCTTGGGGTTCTAACACCCAAGGCTTCATGGTTCTGCAAAGGTAAGGCTGGCAGTCATCATGGGAGGCCTCCCTGGCTCCCAGCCCATTCTAGGGTCAAGGGCAGAGACTCTGAGAAAAAGAACTGTCTTGTGACCACAGGTCTACTGAGACTCTAGTTCCTTTAATTTTTTTTTTTTTTGCTTGTCCCCTCCCACCTCCTATCATTGGAATAATAATGGCACAGGCATGTTTATTTAAAGGGGCTGTGGTTACATAGTGTCTACTCTCCATCCCTGTAGTATGTAAGAATGGTGTATGGATTGGGGGTGGGCGGGGAGCATTACTAAGAATAGAGCCTAAGGCCTTCAACATACTGAACAAGTGTTCTGTTCCTCCGCTGAGTTACACCCCCTAACTTCTGGGTGATCTACAGAGGATTGCTTCCTTACAGAGGGAATTGCAGAAACTGGAAGTTCAGGATCTGACAGCTATACCCAGTGAGGAATACATGCCACTTCTGAACATCACAGGAGTTGGGAGCATTAAGGCTAGCCTGGCCTCAGGAAGGGTAGTCCACTTGTGAGGTTGGACCAAACACTTCCCACTATGCCCCTGCCTCCCTGAGTTGTTGAATTCAGTTAAGCTTCTAAACCCGGTATACTCCAGTCACACCTGTAAGCTCAGAAGCCTGGAAGTTGAGTCAGGAAGATCACCAGAGGCCAAAGCCAGTATGGACTATATAGTTTTCCAAGCAGACCTATAGAAAAAGCAGAGAGGGTTGATTTATCAAAATAGTTGGAACTAAGTTTCCAATAGATGGATACGGGGTTACAGGTCAAGCCATAGCATGAGCCCATTCAGTAGTCCCACTGTCCTGGACTATGTGCCTATCAGGAGCCCCTCCATCAGAAGTATTTAGGTGAAGAAGTGGCCAAAGTGTGACCAAAGAGGAGGCCTGCACTCCACAGGCAGAGAACCTCAGACCTGGTCATCTCTGCCCCTGTGGTTTGCTTGCAGATAGGGAGGCTGAACAGAGGGCTTCACTCACAGAAAGACCCTCTTACATACCTCCAATCAGGAAACTTCCTGTCCTGTCTGGGCTGGTCTGATCCAGTTCCACTGCCCCCACCCCACCCTGGAGTAGGAGTAGGGGTTGGGAGAGACTTTCAGGCCTTTGCCCCAGACCTGTAGAATTCCATCTGGAACTGGTTAGCTTCTGAGGAAAAAAAAAAAAATGTGAAAACACCACCCACTCTCCCCCTGAGGCCAGCAGAATGAATAGAACAGAGGCCCCTTAGGCTCCCCGTCTACCCAGGCCTGGCCACTCTACCTGAAACATCAGCATGGGCCTACCTACAAAAGCAACTTAAAAAATTTGGAGAAACTGAAGAATAGTTTTAAAAACAAAATATTTCCACCCCTCAGCCCCACCCTGCTAGCATTGGGTGAAGCAGTTGGGAGGCACTGCCTAGATCCTAGCCCCAGGCTGAGCGCCTTCTCAGCAGTGAGTATTACTTGCTGTTCACCCTGACCTGTTATCACCGGCTGCAGAGAAAGTTAGGGACCACCTGTCTGGATGAGCCCCTCCCCCGACTTTGGTGAGGTCCCCAGGCCATTGCTGGCTCAGCAGTAGGGGCCCTCTCTGCTCTGTGTTCCTGGAACTTGGTTGGGTGTCTGGTTTTGCTCAGTGGTTGCATCAGAAGGGACAAGTTCTGCGTGCTCTGCCTTGTGACTTTCCCGGTTCTTTCTCCAGGCCTTCTCCAGCCTGACCTGAGAGAATTTCCATCAGCCAAAGGGGCCAGTGGGCACAGACCTCACTGGCTTTCTTAAGGCCTGGACAGCCCAGACAAAGCAGTAGCTCCCACTGCTATGGCCCAGAAAACACTTGGTCAGGGGCCAAGGCTCTTGACAGCCAAGTAGTGTCCCCTCGCTTACTCCTGAGACACTCTGTCCCCTGGCTGTTCAAAGCACCATTTCTGGGAAAGCCAGTGAACAGCTTTTCAGAGTTCATTGTCCTTGTCATCTGCAGAGCCAGCAGGTAGTTCTGACCACCTTGCCACCCCCACTGTAGACCTCAGTCATCCTGAGGCTGAGAGCAGGAAGCATCTCTCTATCTTTCCTCATTCTGAGGTCCCCTGTTCCCCAGCACACCCTCATCTGCCTTCCATTAGCGCCTCTTCATAGACTCTTCCCAGTATCTAGAGGGCTTGACATCAAACTGAAGACCCACACAAAGTTATCTTCCTGGGATCCTTTGGCCTTCACAATCCAAAGCCACTCAGGGCCCAAACTCTGCAATCAAACAGATGCCCCTCTAGGGTAAATTTAGATCCCATGACTGGGGACTTTCTAGCTTTTTTCTTCCTCATGCTAGTGGTGACTCATGCATCCTGGCAGTCTCCTGCCTGCCCACACTAAACACAATCCCTACTTGAGAGATCAAGCCAGCCTGTGAAGGGAACCAGGTAAAAGCTAATCCTGGATTAACTGGAGGCTGGGCCAGGGGTGAGACTGGGCACACCTCCAAGGTTAGAAGGAGGAGCAAGAGGAGGGACCTGACCCTGGGTGGAAGGCACAGACTGGATTTGTTTTGGAGGGTGGAGCAGTGGGGTTGAATATTTTCTAGGTAGGTAAGAGTTAAATCCTTCTGGACCTCAGTCACTTGTTTATTCCTCCTGAACTTTTTCCTCTCCAGTTCTGGAGCCATCGAGCTGAGCCAGCAGAGTCCTGCAGTATTCCCCATGGCCTGCCTGAGTCCCTCACAACTCAAGAAGGTAGGGGCCTGCGACTGGAGGGTACAGACCTCTAGTGACCCTTGAACTACCTCTGACATTTCACAAAGGAGAAAGGCTCCCTGAGTATAAACTTCTGTGAACCGAGCTGGAGAGAGCCAGGTCATGCTACCCCCAGGTTTGGTATGGTGGGGTTGGGGGATAGGACTTAGAAACCACAATTCAGATTAGCCAATTCAGCCAACCCCAGGGGCCTGTTGATGAAGACCTGAATGGGGAAGGCTAGTAGCTATCAGTCCCATTCTGAAAGCCCACCATATAGGGGTTGGCCTAATCACACTTTAAAATAACAACCCACGATTTCTTTTTTCTTTTTTTCTTTTTTGGTTTTCCGAGACAGGGTTTCTCTGTATAGCTCTGGCTGTCCTGGAACTCACTCTGTAGACCAGGCTGGCCTCAAATTCAGAAATCCGCCTGCCTCTGCCTCCCAAGTGCTGGGATTAAAGGCGTATGCCACCACTGCCCGGCTAGCAACCCACAGTTTCATATGCCAGGACTGTTAATGTATTAGATCTAGCCTTAGGATCTTTGTTTCAGAGTCCTCCTGGAGCTATGGGTGTGGCTTAGCAGTTGAGTGCTTACTGGAGGCTCTCTGAGATTCATCCCAACACTCACAACACACACACATACACACACACCACACAAACACACTGCACATACACAAACACACACCACACACAGATGCACACCACACACACATACACCACACACATGCACACCACATACACCACACACATCAATACACATACACAAACACATTACACATTCACCACACACACACACACCAATACACATACACAAACATATTGCATATATCACCAGACACAAACATACCGAACACACTGCAATACACAAACACACACACAGACTACACACACATACACACACACCAACACACATACACATACCACCACTACCACACACACCATACATCACACATACACACACTAATACACACACAGACACACCGCACAAACACCACACATGTCCCATACAAATGCACACACATGCACATACCACACACACATACACACACACCCACACTCAAAAACACATACATATGCATGGACACACCACACACACACACACACACGCAAATACACCCATGCGTGCGTACATACACAGACACAAACACAGAAGCGCACACATACCGCACAGACACACACTTATCACCTAAACCCACACATACTCACACAGACCTACTACTCTCTTCTGACAGCTGCCACTGTTGCCACAATTCCTAAATTTGTTTGTGGCTAAATCTGTACTAGAAGTCAGTTTTCTTTCTGTCTTACAGGCTGTCTGAGACAGAGCCCCATGTCAGTATTTTTCTGTATGGCTTATGTTGCGCTTTTGTTCGGTTTTTGTGATTCATGGAGGGCCTCCAACCCTGAGTGCTGGTTTGTTGCTGTTTGCTCTGTTTTGGTTTTTGGAGACTGAGTCTTACTATGCATCCCTGTCTGGTCTAGAACTCAATCTAGAGAGCAGGCTGCCCTCCAACTCACAGAGTTCTGTCTGCTTCTGCTTCCTAAGTGCTGGGGTTAAAGGCGTGGGCCACCATGCCTGGCCACACTTCCATCCTTGCTTTCTGACCCCTAGTGTGTTGGTTCTGTTTGTCTTCAGTGCTGGGGACAGAAGCCAGGGCCTTGTACATGCTAGGCAAGCAGTCTGCTTCTGAGAGGCGTCTCCGTCACGCACATGCTCTGCCTCAGCATCTTACGCTAGCCTCAGAACAAAGACGTGAGACTACATCAGAATGACCCATCTGTGTTCACACCCCCTAGCCTCCCTCTACACTCGGGAGAAAGCCCAACTCCTTGTCTTGCCAGGGAGATCCCGTGACTGGGGACTTTCTAGCCTTTACCTCCCTCATGCTAGTGGTGACTCATGCGTCTTGGCAGTCTCCTGCCTGCTCACACTGAATAACACAATGGAAATAAGTTTCCAGTGGATGGGTTTGGGGTTACAGGACAAGCCATAGCAGGAGCCTGTTCAGTCTCCCTTCTGTCTGCTCCTCTGGCCCTCCCCTCACCCTGTGCTCCAGCCCTTCCCAGTTCCTCACAGTTGTCCAGTGCCCACAGGTTTTGTACATCCTGTTCTCTGTCTTCAGTCTTTCCTATCTCTTTGCTTCCCAATGTTCTACGCTTTCCTTTAAACCCACTTTCTCCAAGCTGCCCTTTGACCCTTAACCTCATTAGATTGTTTGCCTTTAATTCTCAAAACCCTGCCCCTGTCTCCCTGTAAGTCAGCATGATGTGGGATGGTATGTTTGCCTGATGATGAGTGATGCATGGGTCTCCTTCACTGGACTGTAAATTGTGTGAGGGCAGCTTGTTTATAATCACATGTCTGTCTACTAAAGCTATCTCATATCTCAATGCTTACTATTGGAATAGCTGGACATGGTGGTACATGCCTCTAAAGCCAACATTTAGGAGGCTGAGGCAGGAGGATCTTGAGTTTGAGGCCTCCCTGTCTTCAAACAAATATAAACAAAACAAGGGAGTTAGGTGGCTCAGTGGTTAAGAGCGCTTCTGCAAGCATGAAGATCAGAGTTCAAATCCCAGCACCCACTTAAGGAACTGCACTCACCTGTAACCCTAGCTTCAAGGTGGAGACAGGATGGCCAGGGCTCACAGGCTACCAGTCTAGTGAAGAAAACAGCCCAGGTTCAAGGGGGAGCCCCTACCTCAGAAATAGAGAGTGGTAGAGGGGGGCACCCTATGTCCTCCTGATGCTCCTGCAAATGTGCACCTGGAGTTCACACACATGTTCTGTACTCATGTTAACACATGAATGAGGTTGTGTTTCCATATGTCCCAAACCCAAGAGCAGAGACAACTGCGGCTTCCCCTTCTGTGCTAAGATCCAAGTAGCCAATACTGACTTCTCCTCACTAAGCACTGGACACCCATGTCCAGGATGGGGGACAGAGCAGGACATTTGATCTTGGTTCGGGTTTGTGGTCACACATGGATGTAAGGAAGGGGGAGGGCAGAGGGAGCCTGAGCCTTGTCCCTGCTGTAGTTCCAGGAGGACGGGTTTCTGCTGTTGGAAGGATTCTTCACAGCAGATGAGTGTGTGGCCATGCAGCAGAGGATCGGTGAGATTGTGGCTGAGATGGATGTCCCTCTGCACTGCCGGACAGAATTTTCCACCCAGGAAGATGAGCAGCTTCAAACCCAGGCAGGTACCTGGGGCAATGAGGATGGGCGTCTGGCTTTGATGGGTGCTCAGTCTTGGGCAGCAGCCCGGATGGGAGCACCCTAAGGCCACAGACTTCGGATAGGGGATCAGACCTCAGCCTTCTGCATGCCGAGAACCTGGCTAGAGAGCTGGGCAGTATCACTCATTTCCTCACTATGTGTTTATAAGGTGGCTATTATTGTTCTCACTTGGCAATAGGAAAAGCTGACTTTTCTCTAGGTAATACTGTATTGCTCCAACCACACACTTTGTAACTGATAGAGACTTGAATTCACCTCTCTGATATCAAATGGTGCTGGTCATTGACCTGCTGTGGTTTCTCAAGTTCTCTGGTCACAAAGAACCCTCTGTGACCAGAGTAAGCCCTGTGATAGGCCACTCTTGGGCGAGTCATCTCCCAGCCAGACTAGGAAGGGCAGTTGCTTCCTCAGACTCAACACAGTTTGACAGGATAGCTAGTTCTTCCAGCCAGTTCCTTTAACCCTTCTTAGTCTGAATTTCTAAGTGGTCCAGGCAACAGGGCTCACCTTATACAGATGCCAAGGAGCTTCCACCATCTGGTGGAAATAAATAGAATTACAGCAGCCAGAAACTGCTTTCTTCCAGAGGGGAGGATGGAGTCTTCAGAAGACACATAACAGACTAAGTATTTTCCTAACTAGCAGGACAGACACGCTCTAAGGAGTGAGGGACCTGATCCTGTCCCTTTCCCTAGCTATCTACTGAGAAGACTCTAACAGTCCATTGATAGCAGAGGTAGGAATGATGAAAGAAGAAAGGGTGGTGTTGGAGAGATTGCTCATTGGTTGAGCACACTGGCTGCACTTCCAGAGGACCAGGGTTCAATTGCTAGCACCCAGCTCCCACATGGTACTCATATAACTGTCTGTATTTCCAGTTTCAAGGGCCCAATGCTGGCATCCAGATACACATGTGGGCAAAACACTGACACACATAAAACAGGACAGAGGCAGGTGAAGCTCTGTGAGTTCTAGGCTAGTCTACTCTACAAAGCGAGTTCTAGAACAGCTAGGGCTATTATACAGAGAAATTGTGTTGCAAAAAAACCCCAAAAAACAAATGAAGGAAGAGAAGGAAGAAGAGGAAGAGAAGGAGGGGGAAGAAGAGGAAGAGGAAAAAGAAGAGGAGAAGGAGGAAGAGGAGGAGAAGGGGGGAAAAGAGGAGGAGAAGGCAGAGGCGGTGTGGGCGGCAGTGGCAGCAGCAGTGGCACAGACATCTGTCAGCCAGAATCATTCTGTCACTTCCAGCTCGGGATTCCATATACCATATAAGATACTCAACATAGAAAATAGGCACAACTGCCCACTAATGTAAGTTTTCGTAGTATGTTTAGGGTTAGGTAAAGCTGTTCAATGGGCAGGTGTGACAGTGACTTCAGAAGGCGGATGGGTTCACTGGGCTCCCTGTTTCAGATGGTTCAGTCCATGGTCACTTGGCTCTGTTGCAGGATACTTGATTGCACTGTGAAACCCAAGATCGTGTTGTTTACTGGAAAAAAATTATTTCTAGTTGTGATGTGGCTCAGCACTTATCACACAGCTTTAACCCTCTGACTGGAATACAGACACGCCCTTAGTACACACCTTTAATCCCAAAAAATAAAGGTGAAGTTAGTTTGTAGAAGGAAGAACCCATTTTTGAAAGTGATGCCTAATTGAGTGGCAGACAAAGTGATGAATCAGAGAAAGTATTGACAGAGTAGGATATGCCCAACTCTCTCGAGAACAGGCTACTTAGGAGAGAGCAGTGCAGAGAGAGGAAGGAGGCAGTTTTACTAGGAGTTTTATAGAGATAGGTTGAAGATAGAACAAGCTAGACACAGGTGAAGATAGAACAAGCTAGAGAATGAGAAGGAGCCAGAAGATTAGAACATATTACCAAAGTTAGTATGAGGCCAAGCAGAGCAAATCAGTCAGAGGCCAAGAGAGGAGTTTAAGCCAGCTGAGTTGAACCAGCCAGCCAGAGCTCAGAAAGAACAAGAAAGTCAGTAGTATTCAGCAGTAAGTCTCGGAGGCTGAAAACATTCTAGGCCTTGATTGGATTGTACGGAGACTAGAGGCCTCCAGGACTAGGCCTGACATAGGGAGCAAACCTTTGAGATATTTTAGGCGAATAAAAGTTCCTTGTCCATGGTGTCATGTCCATGGGCCTGAGGTGAGACAGAGTTGTGGCAGAGCGGTCATGATGAAGCAGAGCTGCTCACTTCACAGTAGCCGGGAAGCAGAGAGAGTGCAGAGGAAGGGTCTGTGATGAGAGGAACACTTCCTTCAAAGCCTCACCCCAGTGACCTACTTCCTCTAACAAGGCCCAAGCTCCCAAGAATCCCTCAGCTATGAGCTCATCAATGGACTCATATAGCAGCCAAGTTAGTATCTTTCCTATCCAGTGATCACCACAGTTGGGGACCAAGCCTCCAATGCAGGAGCCCTTTTGGGAAGACACATTTGTATATATACTGGAAGAACTGCTTAGATGTGTTAAAGGGTTTTTCTTTTTTTTTTTTTCTTTTTGTTTTTTTGAGACAGGGTTTCTCTGTGTAGTTCTGGCTGTCCTGGAACTCACTCTGTAGACCAGGCTGGCCTCGAACTCAGAAATCCACCTGCCTCTGCCTCCCAAGTGCTGGGTCTAAAGGCGTGTGCCACCACCACCCAGCGGCATTTTTTTTTTTTAAGATTTATTTTATATATGTGAGTACACTGTTGCTGTTTTCAGACATGCACCAGAAGAAGGCATCAGATCCCATTACAGATGGTTGTGAGCCACTATGTGGTTGTTGGGAATTGAACTTAGGACCTCTGGAAGAGCAGTCAGTGCTCATAACTGCTGAGCCATCCCTCCAGCCCCCAAAGGCATTTTTTGACGGCCCAGTCAGTAAACTGCTTGCCAAACTAGGATGGGGACTTGAGTTCAATCCCTAAGGCCCCATTTAAAAACAGCTGGGAGTGAACCCCTGTAGTTCTGCTGCAGAGGTGGAGACAGATGGATCCCTAGGGCATGCTGACTGGCTAAGCTAGCCTGCTTAGTGAATCTCGGGCTAGTGAGAGACCCTGTTTCAATGAAAACGGGGTAGATGGCTCTGGAAGAATGGCACCTAAGTTTGTCTTCTGCCTCTGTACCTGTACATATACAAAAGGCATTTTTGATCTGTAAGATTTTCAACTTAGAAAAAAAAATTTTCAACTTAGGTAAACTTACCTGGTCAAAGCTCCATAGTAAATTGAAGAGCATCTGTAATAAGGGATGTCCAGGAAATCCCAATTCGTGGCTTTAGGCACCTGGAGTTCTAGCTGTCTGTACCTCAGCGGCCATGTTTGAGAAGCCCTCAGGAAGCATCTGTAGTCCTGTGTGGGTAGGCAGCTCCTGACCCTGCTCAGCCCCTCCGCTCTGCTCTCGTCCCTCCTATGCTCCCTCCATAGGGCAACACGGACTACTTCTTAAACAGCGGTGACAAGATCCGATTCTTCTTTGAAAAAGGCGTTTTTGATGAGAAAGGTTTGGAGCCATGTGGGTTGGTGGGGCTGGGTCAGGGTGGCTAACTCCTGAGGCTGAGAGGTAGCTGAGCCCAGCTCCCTGAAGGAAGCAAGAGGCCAGGCCTGCTGCCTTTGTCTGTTTTTTGTACCACAGGAAATTTCTTGGTTGCTCCAGAGAAATCTATCAACAAAATTGGCCATGGTGAGCAGGGGCCTGGGCGTGCAGAAAAGAAAGTAGGCAAACTGAGGTCTGAAGAGTTTAGGAGACCTAGGACCAAATGCCACCATAAGATGGTAGTTAGCCAAGTGTTGGTGGCACTCAGGACACAGAGGCAGGCAATCTCTGAGTTCAAGGCCAGCCTGGTCTATAGAATGAGTTCCAGGACAGCCAGGGCCACACAGAGAAACCTTGTGTCAAAAAACAAGACAAAACAAAATAAAAGATGGCACTGGCCACATGGCTCTGGCCACAGGCTCTCCTCTGCCTCAGCTCTCCGCATCCTTTGATGGTGATGACTTGGCACTTCTGCCCCAGCTGAGAATGGGATCCACTTGGGTGGCCCCCAAGATGGACAGTGCAGGCTCTTCCACTCACTACTGCCTGCTCTGGGAGTGATCCCTGAGGATGGGGGTTCTGACTTCAACTACTTCCTGGAGTTTCTTTAAGGGACACCTGATGTGACATTCTAGTTCTTGTTCTAAGACCTCCAAATCAAGTGTCAAGCTCTTACCTTTTTCTCAGGATGACATATTATAATTTATTTTTTAGACTTTTTAAAAAAGATTTATTGGGCCGGGTGGTGGTGGTGCACGCCTTTAGTCCCAGCACTTGGGAGGCAGAGACAGGCGGATTTCTGAGTTCGAGGCCAGCCTGGTCTACAGAGTGTGTTCCAGGTCAGCCAGGGCTACAGAGAGAAAGAAACCTTGTCTCGAAAAACCAAAAAAAAAAAAAAAATTTTATTGGGCTGGAGCTATGGTTCAGTGGTTAAGAGTACTGATTGCTTACTCTTCCAGAGGTCCTGAGTTCAATTCCCAGCAACCACAGTGTAGCTCACAACCATCGTTAGTGGGATCTGATGCCCTCTTCTGGTGTGCTTGATTGAAGAAAGCAACAGTGTAGTCACATAAAATAAATAAATAAATCTTTAAAAAATTCCAAAAAAGATTTATTTATTTTTATGTATGAGCACACTGTCACTGTCTTCAGACACATTGCTCTTAACTGCTGAGCCATCTTTCCAGCTCCTTAGACTTTTTTTAAAATTAAACATTTATTAATTCTTCCTCCTTCCCAGCCTCCCCCCCCCCGCCCCCCCCCCCCCGCCCCGTGTGTGTGAAGTGAGCTAGAGCGGCATGTACCTGCATGTGTGCGCTGCCAAGGACTGTGGAGGTCTGAGGACAGCCTGTAGGAGACATTTCTTTTTCTGTACTGTGAACTGGGGTTGTCAGGCTTAGTGGCAGGTACATTTACCCACTGAGCCATCTCACTGCCCCTCTCCTTTGTTTTCCCTTTCTGTTTTTTTTTTTTTCCTTTTAACAAGGTTTCATTGTCTAATCCAGCTGGCCTGGAACTCACAAACCTCCTGCCTCAGCCTCCCTCGTCGGAGGCTACAGGCATGCACTACACTGGCTAGTTTATCATTTCCATTTCAAAGTATATAACTCAGGGTCATTAAGTATGTTCAACTTTGTTTTTTTTTTTTTGGGTTTTTTTTTTTTTTTTTTTTTTTTTTTTTTGGTTTTTCGAGACAGGGTTTCTCTGTATAGCCCGGGCTGTCCTGGAACTCACTCTGTAGACCAGGCTGGCCTCGAACTCAGAAATCCGCCTGCCTCTGCCTCCCGAGTGCTGGGATTAAAGGCGTGCGCCACCACCGCCCGGCTTCAACTTTGTTTTTATAATAGCAGTTGCTTATGATGAGGGGCCATCTCCAGGTAGGATCCAGGCTGCTGTAGCACACTCCTTAGCTCACAGAGCCCCACAGCATCTCTGGGGACACAGCTGTTTTCTCACTTCACTTTATAGAGAAGCAGACTGAGGTGTACGGGGAAGCCTGTCATCTAAGTTCTCACAGATGCAGTAGCAGTCCTGAGATTGCTACTAAGAGACAGGTTCTTTTGACTCTATGAGCTTTGGGGAGTCAGGGCTAGAATGAGGTTTCCAGGTGCCCAGAAAGTTCTGAATAAGGTCACAGGCAACCAGAAGTATAGCTCAGTTGGTGCAGTGTTTGTATAGTACACATGAAGCCCAGGGTTTAATCCCTAGCACGGTTTGAAGCAGGCATAGTGGCCTGTGCCTTCAATGGCAGCACTCAGGGGTTGGAAGCAGGAGGATGGGAAGTTCAAGGTCATCTTCTAGTACACAATAAGTCCAGGCCATCCTGGGCTACATGAGACCCTGTTGCAAAAGCAGAATAAAACAAGAAAAGAAAAAGGCCCTGGATGGAGTAAGGTCAAGGTGTCTGTGGCCCTTTACTTAGCTATAAACAAGCACAAAGTTTGGAATATGTGAGAATTCCAAAATGAGGCCTGACTTTAGTGTCCAGGATGTGGGAGGGATATGCAAGGTCTGAGGCTAGCCCATGAACCTATCTTTGATCCACAGCTCTGCATGCCCATGACCCTGTCTTCAGGAGCATCACACACTCTCCCAAGGTGCAGGTGAGTGGGGGCTGGAGGTAAGAGTGGGAAGATGTGAGGGGCAGATATAAATGATCAGGCTGGTAGTGTGTGGCTTTCATCTTCTAGGCTTTGATCAGAAGTCTGGGCCTCCAGATACCAGTGGTGGTGCAGAGCATGTATATCTTTAAGGTGAGCTCCGCAGCCTCCTCAAACTCAGTTTCCCCCATAAGATGGAAGACTGTTCATACAAAGCTTTATCTTACAGCAGACCAGGAACTGCTGGAGTTGGTTAGGTTACAGGGAGGGCATGTAAGGCTGGCCTCTGGCTAATGTGCTTGGTGCTACACAGATGATCAGTTAAAACCTGTTTAAAAAGAAGGAAAGGGAACCCAGTGGTGCTCCTTGAATGTTCTGCTCTCAGCTTTTTTTTTTTTTTGGTTTTTTGAGACAGGGTTTCTCTGTGTAGCCCTGGCTGTCCTGGAACTCACTCTGTAGACCAGGCTAGCCTCAAACTCTCGAACTCAGAAAACCGCCTGCCTCTGCCTCCCAAGTGCTGGGATTAAAGGTGTGCGACACCACCGCCCGGCTTGCTCTCAGCTTTCAAGGACCACCTCAGTGCTACCTCCTCTAAGAAACTATTTAAATCTCTTTGCAACCTTCCTCGACTGAGCACATAGTAGGTACTCAGTAGATGGGTGCTAGTGCAGGGTCAGAGGACCTACAAGACTCAGCTCGAGCCCTGCCTGCTCTCTTCCACTTTTACTACCCCCTTCTCCTCTCTTGCAGCAACCTCACTTTGGCGGGGAAGGTGAGCCGAGACTGGGCTGCTGTGGGGCCATCAAAGGCTGGAGACGGGACGTCAGTGGCCATCGGGTGTTTGAAGGGAGAAAAAAATGCTTCCCTCAGAGTCTGTGGAATGGGCAAGAACCCGGGCCAGGGAGGAACAGCTACCTTCTATCCCTGCCAGTAGATTGGGGAAGGGTCCCTAGAGCCCTTTGGCACAATGGTCCCAATTCCAATGGCAAACTTAGCTGGTTGAAACCAGAACTCTCAGTCCTCCCTGAGATAGTTTTGGTTTTAGTTTTGTTCACGACAGGTTTCTTTGAGTCCAGGCTGGTCTACAGTGTGAATTCCAGGACAGTCAGGGCTACACAGAGAAACCGTGTCTCAAAAAAAAAAAAAAAAAAAAACAAACCAGAAAATAAAAACCAAAAAATAAAAACCAACCAACTAACTAAGAACAAACAAGCCAGTGTCACTTCTGTGGTGGCGGCACACTCCTTTTGCCCCAGCACCACAGCACTCCAGGAGGTAGAGACGTGAGTTTTTAATAACACTGTTTCCCAAATCATCCAGCATGTGATTTGCCAATAGAAGGAGTTTTGGGACGCTACGGTGGGTGGCATTCTGCTTGGATGCCTCTGCTGTCCCACTCACATACATGCAGCCCTGTACTTTGCAAGAGCTCAAGTCTATCTCCTTGTGACCAGTCTCCCACACAGCACCAAAGGGCCCCTCCCACCGCCCTTTGCCTGCTCTGCCTAAATCCAGCACATCCAGATACCTTGGCCATTTTCCTCCTCAGAGACTTTGAAGCCTCCTTAATTGGCCACTCTCCTCAGGATAACACTGGGGATTTCAAAGACCCTATGGGTGCTTAGGGTGCATAGTTAACCCAGAAGAGTGAAGGCGATACTTGTTACTGTAGACTGAGCTCCTCTCCAGGGGCCTCTCCATCCTGCATCTGCCTGGCATCACCACAGGGGGCTTTAAACAGTGGATGCAAATAGACAGGGGCTGTGTCTCCTGACTAATAAAGAGAGGATACTAGTGCCTGTGACAACAAGCCTGGACTCCCAGCTACTCAGGAGGACTGAGTTGTTAGCCTTGGCAACTTGCTGAAAAGACCCTGTTTCAAAACAAGGGTAAAGGGGGATAAGGTTGTATGTTAGTGGGACAATACCTACCTAGTAAATCTGGTTGCTATCTGGGTCTGGTGGCACAAACCTATAGCCCCAGTATCCTGGAGGATGAGATAGGATTGTTAGTTTCAGGCTAACCTGGGCTACCACGGCTAGATCCTGACACAAAACAAAACAGAACAATGAAATGTAGTGGCTTGGTTACTCATAGTTGGTACCCTGCTCTGCTTATGTTTCCAGCTTATCCTACTGGCGGGCCATTTGGTGGTTCAAATCTGCTTACCCCTGGTTAAGAACGGAGGCCTTAGCAGGGCAGTGGTGGTTCAGGCCTTTTATCCCAGCACTCAGGAGACAGAGGCAGGAGGATTTCTGAGTTCAGGGCAGACTGGTCTACAGAGTGAGTTCCAGGTTGGCCAGAGCTACACAGAGAAACCCTGTCTCAGAAAAACAGTTAAGAGCTGTGGCTTCCATGATGTGGCTGGGGTTAAACATAGCTACTTTCTTTTTAGTATTACAAGGTTGGCCTTGTGCTAAGCAACTTTTAAAAAGATTTATATATTTTATGTATATGCGTGCTCTGTCTGCATGTACTTCTGAAGAGGGCATCGGATCCCATTACAGATGGTTGTGAGCCACCCTGTGGTTTCTGGGAATTGAACTCAGGACCTCTGAGCAGCCAGTGCCTTTACCATCAAGCCATCTCTCCCGTTGTCTGTCCTGTACTAGGTAATTTTAGTAGGTCATCTACAGAGCCTCTAGCAGGCCTTTGAAGCAGGCTGGAACCAGTTGAAGTGATGGAAACCTTCAGAGGTGCAGTCTCTTGCTTAGAGCTTGTAGGCCAGGCAGTGGTGAGACTCTTAAGTGGAGCTGGATAGGCTACCCCTGGAAAGATTATGGAATGAGAACCTGGCTGGGGTGAGGTGAGGCCTGGCCAAAGGCGTGGTACCTTACTTACTCCCAGGTGGGTCTCTTACAGTCTCCCCTCACCAGGATGCTACCTTCCTGTACACGGAGCCCCTAGGCCGCGTGCTGGGCCTGTGGATTGCAATGGAGGATGCCATGCTGGAGAATGGTTGCCTCTGGTTCATCCCTGGCTCTCATACCAGTGAGGACACTGTTTATCCTTGCCCACCCCACCCCAGGGAGAGGGACATACAAAAAGAGTGACTAAAGACACCATGTTGGCCCACAGGTGGGGTGTCAAGAAGGATGATCCGAGCCTCTTCAGACTCTGGGCCTGGCACCAGCTTCCTCGGGTCAGAGCCAGCCTGGGATAACAATCTCTTTGTGCCTTTGCCAGTGAAGAGAGGTAGGTGGGGTGCAGAGCACAGGGAAGCAAGTGCATATTAAAGGTTCCCTGCAGTGCCTGCCATCTGAGAGCCTTGACCATTGTAGAATGGTTGGTGGAGGAACTGGTGGGGCTTGGATGTCAGCAAGCAGCGTGCTTCCAGCAGGCTCTTTAAGGTCAGACTAAAGTCCTTGACAGGCCATTTCTTGAAGTAGATGATTGCCTCTCTGACCCTCAGAGTTCCTAGGTAGAAGGCAATCAATGCAGGATGTTTACAGGGAACATGTGAGGTGCACACATGCTCCAAGTGTGTTGGCAGGTAGTGCCTGGTTTTCCTTATGGAACGAGTATACTGGATGCCAGCTCTGTCTGTCTAGGGAAGGGGACCCCCACACCCTTTGAGGCATGGTTTCCCGCTTGCCTCTGCCTTCCAAGTGCTGGGATTGATTAAAGGCTTGTACTGACCCCCCTGGCCTGGGGAGGCCCTGCATAGGCTTCCCAAGGCAAGTCACAATGGAGAAGATTTGATGCCAGGGAACCTCTGTCTAACAACATGGCCTCAGATCCTGGAGCACAAGTGACAGCCTGACTTTCTAAGGACAGGAATAGACACTTCTCCCTTTGTGGAAGGAGGGCTGAGTCCCTTCTTCTCTTGGGAATAAAACCGCTTGCAATGGGGTTGGTGGTGACTTGCTGGTGACAGTATGGTATTCCCCAAGGGGGTCTGGTCCTGATTCATGGAGAAGTGGTGCATAAGAGTGAGCAGAACCTTTCCGACCGCTCACGCCAGGCCTACACGTTCCACCTCATGGAGGCCGCCGGCACTATCTGGAGCCCAGGGAATTGGTAGGTAGCAGGGTTGGTATGTGCCCCAGAGACCCTCCTGAGAAGACCCTTTAAGCTAGGCACAGTGATCCCTTGAGCCCGAAATTGTAGTGACAGTTTTGGAGTTTTGATTTATTTAAAAAACACAGAAATATTATGGGAATATATTTTTTGTTTTAATCCCAGGTATGAGATATGCAGCCCATAGCAGCTGATTATAATTTGCCCCCTGCTCTAGCAGGGACGTGATTTTGCCAGCATTAGATAGTTTCTGTGATTGTGTGACAATTGGGATTCTGGGGACTTTTCAGAGGGTCTATAAATGCTAGGGCCCCAAGAGCCAAAATGAGTTTTTGGTCTTGAAGAAACAACAGGTAGGAGAAGCAGGGGTATGGGGGATGGGATAGTGGGTTTTAGGAGGTGAAACCAGGAAAGGGGATAACATTTGAAATGTAAATAAAGAAAATATCTAGGGGGCTGGAGAGATGGCTCAGTGGTTAGGAGCACTGACTGCTCTTCCAGAGGTTGTGAGTTCAATTCCCAGCAACCACATGGTGGCTCACAACCATCTGTAATGGAATCCAATGCCCTCTTCTGGTGTGTCTGAAGACAGCGTCAGTGTACTCACATATATTAAATAAGTAAATCTTTAAAAAAAAAAAGAAAAAGAAAATATCTAATAAAAAAATTCAAAAAAAAATAAAAGAAGAAGAAACAACCACAAATTAGATATCTTGGTGAAGATCAAACTGGCCCCAAGAAACTTGATTTGCCTAATCAGCAGGAAGTAGTTTAACAGTAATGTCAACCCCCTTTCCCCTATTTTTTTTCTCTCCTATCTAGTATTAGAGTGGAGAAGGGTGGAGGAAAGAACCCACAAAGTAGCCAAAGCTCAGCTACAGCACCTCTTGCTCTCTCTGTAGGCTCCAGCCCACGCCTGAGCTGCCCTTCCCGCAGCTCTACATCTGAAGGTCCTGGCAGGATGGGGCTGCTCCCCAGAGTGATGCTGTCAACACCAGGGTCTCTGGCTGCAACTCAAGGTCACCTCTTCCTGTATGGGCTTTCTTTCTGATGGTGTTTGTGACCTTGGTCCAGCAGACAGGGAGCCAAGAAACAGAAATGACAGGGCAGCACCCCAGGCTGGGTGAGGAACTTCATCCAAGATTTTATCTCTCTACACCTTTCTGTCCCAACCCAGCTTTCGGAAGTGGCCACTCAGCAGTGCAAGGATTCTGGTTGAGACTCAGGTTTCTCTTGGATGGATGTTACTGTGTAAGACACTGAATACAATGATTTAAAATATATTGTATGTGTATGGGTACTTTGTACATGTGTCTGCACCATATGTGTGTAGTGCCTGTGAAGGTCAGAAGGGGGTGTTGGATCCCTAGAGCTGGAGTTGCAGGATGCTGTGAGCTGCCATGTATCTGCTGGGAATTGAACACTTGTCTGCCAGACCCGGTGGTGTTCTTAACCGCCGAGACCTCCTTGGCTCACAAAATGAGTTTGAAGGGTAGCTTCTCTATCCATCCTTCTCCCACTAACAGCACTGCAGAAAGCCATCAAGGGCACTCCACTGTGCTTGGCGTGGTGACACATAACAGTAGTGAGCAGTGTTCAGTGGGGACTTACTGCGCAGCTCTATCTCAGTTCCTATAAGGAGAGCAGCTTATCGATGTGTATGCATCCAGGACTAGAGACCAGGAAAGGACAAGTGACCTGCTCAGGTCACACAAATACCCAGTCCCCTCCAGGCCTGAGTGTCTAACCTCCAACCCCTTTCTCCTTGGGAGAGTAGAAAGAACCCTGGCCCTAGGAATCCAGGCTCAGGTCTTTCTGGCTCTGGATCTCAGGTCAGTTCCTTCCTTTCTTCAAACCAGTTTAAGGAAGTCAATGAGGGTCTGCAGGTCACTCTTGATTTGGTATGCTTAACAGCACCTTCCAGAACTACCAGATCCCAATGCTGCTTAGTGGAGGACTGGCCAGATATTGCAAGTGGAGAGGAATCAGCTGATTGGAATCACAGATGTATTGGTCTTGGCTTTGGTTTTAAGCACAAGGCCCTGGGCCCCATGTTACACACCAACATACATACCTTTTCTTTTTGTACATACCTTTGTTTCTGTTTTTGGAGACAGGGTTTCTTTGTGTAGCTTTGGCTGTCTTGGAACTTCCTCTGTAGACTAGGCTGGCTTCGAACTCACAGAGATCTACCTGCCTCTGTCTACTGAACACTGGGATCAAAGGCGTGCTCCACCACTGCCCAATCCACATACTTTATACTTCATAACTTGGGAAACTTGAAGCTTTCTTCAGTAAGTGGACCATTGGCAGGACCAGGCTTCCACTGTTACATAGTATCTGCTGGCTGGGCTCCCTTCCTCTTTGTGTGGTGGAAGTGAAGATGCAGGACCTTGCACACACTGGGCAAGTGCTCAGTCATGGACCTCCTGGCAACTCTGATTCTTTTTTTTTTCTATTTTGGACAGAGGTTTATTGCTTAGATGGCCTGGAACTTGCAGTGTAGCCCAGGCTGGCCTTGAACTAGGAGATCTACCCAGCTCTACATACCCAGTAAAGTGCCCTTTACTTTACATGCTGTGAGTAAAGGTGAATGCCGCCCTCAAGACAGGGTTTCTCTGTGTAGCCATGGCTGTCCTGGAACTCACTCTGACACAAGACTGGCCTCGAACTCAGAGATCCATCTACCTCTGCCTCCCAGGTAATGGGATTAAAGGCATGTGCCAACACCTTCCACCTTAATTTTTTTTTTTACTTATTTTTATTTTTTTAAAGAGTTATTTTATTTATATGAGTAGACTGTAGCTGTCTTCAGACACACCAGAAGAGAGCATCAGATCCTATGGTTGTAAGCTACCATGTGGTTGCTGAGAATTGAACTCAGGACCTCTAGAAGAGAAGTCAGTGCTCTTAACCACTGAGCCATCTCTCCAGCCCTAACACAGGATATGTGCTTTTACCCATTGAGTTGTTTCGGTGACATCTTAAAAAAAATATTTTAAGCCAGGCAGTGGTGGAGCATGCCTTTAATCCCAGCACTTGGGAGGCAGAGGCAGGCGGATTTCTGAGTTCGAGGCCAGCCTGGTCTACAGAGTGAGTTCCAGGACAGCCAGGGTATACAGAGAAACCCTGCCTCGAAAAACAAAAAACAAAAAACAAACAAAAATATATATATATATTGAGCAGGGTATCTTAGCACATGCCTTTGATCCTAGAAGGGAGGCAGAACAGGCAGGAATCTCTGAGTTCAAGGCCAGCCTACTAGCAACTTCCAGGCCAGCCAGAGCTATGTGAAACTATCTCAAAAAAAAAAAAAAAACTTTTTTGGGGGGGTGGGAGGGGGTGGGGAGGGCTTATGACTTTTCAGTGGCCCCAGAGGGGCAGCCCAGTGCTCTGAGGGAAAGGGCTTGGCAGTGACTCCCAGGCATAGAAGACATTCCTGGCTCCTGTTCCCATTCCCCTGACTTCTCTGGGGGAAGGCCTTGGGAATCCTGCTGTTATTTTCTCAGGACGGCAACTGTTCATTTGTGTTTAGTCAATGTCTACCAAGTTCTTGCCACTGGCCAGGCTCTGTGTGAACCCTGGGAGATGTAGAGACTCAGGCATGGGACTAGATACCTACAGTGGAACTGTTACAAATTCTCCAGAAAGTACCCAGCCTCTGTGGATCTGGACTCTGCACCAGAAGAGATGAATACAGGTTTGGACAGGTCTGGATTGCAAGGATTGTTGGGTTCATTCTAGATATTACTGCCTCCTCTCTGGGTAGCAAAGCCAGAGTGGGGCCAGTTTTTTTCAGCCTTTCTAATAAACACAAGCTGACCTATAGCCTCCCTTCGGCTCTTCTTAGGCAAAGCAGCTCATGCATTCAGCTCTTTCCCTCTTGGGCTTTTCCTCTGAGTGAAGTCAGGAGAGGAAAGGTCACTCTGGTTTCCAAGTACAACCTATCTTCCTCCTATCTTGGCTGGCTTTTTTTTTTTTTTTTTGGTGGTGGTGGTGGTGATTTCTGAGACAGGGTTTCTCTGTGTAGCCCTGGCTGTCCTGGAACTCACTCTGTAGACCAGGCTGGCCTTGAACTCAGAAATCCACCTGCCTCTGCCTCCCAAGTGCTGGGATTAAAGGCATGCGCCACCACTGCCCAGCTTGGCTGGCTTTTTGCTGAGACAAGATTACTCTTGGGTAATAATGTCACTTTCCCTTATTGACCCAGCATGGGTGGGTCACAGTCTGAACACTTAAAATGATTATTATTAGCATATGTGCATGTGACATCTGAGGAGTCGTGCATGAGCCCATATGCCCATGTGGATGTTGAAAGACAAGTCTGTGGACTCAGTTCTCTCCTCTCACCTTTTTGTGGGTTCTAGGTATTGGTCTCAGGCCCTCGGCCTTGTGTTCGAAGTACTTTTACCCACTGAGCCATCTCACTGTCACTCAGGCTGAATCCTTTAGATACTTTACACATCTCCTCTCAGTAGAGACTTCCAGTATCCAGAGTCAGGTTGTCATTTTCCCATCTTACAGACTGAGGCTTAGACTCTCTGAAGGCCACACAGTTAAGCTGTATGGCCAAGGACTCTGACCAGATTTGTTTGGCACGGAACACCTAAGCATTATCCTTTCTGTTCTGCTGCCTGCAAGGTGCACTCCAGTCATGCCCTACCCGGACTCTACGATGGGGCCTCTGCAGCGTATTCAGCGTCCCTGAGTTGATGCATGCCTTTAAACCTTTTGTTGTATTTTAAATATCAGCAAAAATAAAACCAGGAGAGCTTTGCTTCTTTATTTTAAGTCTGAATCAACTTTCTGGCTTCATCTTCCTGGATGAAGCCAAATCTGTTTTTCATCCCTCGGTTCTTGGTGTCCAAGTGGGTAGCTGCTCTGAGGACTATTCATTCTCCCCATTTCCCTGTTTCCCCATCACAGCTGTTACTGATACTAGGCCATCAGCAATATCAGTAGGTAGAGAGGCAACAGGAGATTGTCTATCTGAGTAGTGTAAGCTTCCAGAAGGGATACAGTGGTGATGGACCCCAAAATCCAAGCATAACTGTAGTTCAGGTCTACTCCACTGTCAAAGATTAGGATCAGAGCTACAGAGATGATCTGTGCAAAGATAGATGTCATAGTCCCCTCAAATGTTTTCTTAGTTCCAGGCCAGCGGATCTCCCCCATGGTGCTACCAAATATGGAGGCTACAGTATCACCCACACCCACAGCCAGGACCCCAGCATAAGGGACCAGGGCTCTTGCTCCTCCCAGGCTGCCCTTCTGTGTACAGGGTCTGGGGATCAGCCAAATGGGAAGAGACATGCCCAGAAGCAGGTAGATGTGTGTTAGGATGAGGGGTCCACTGTCTCGTTCATCCAGGAAGAGGGACAGAAGGCTCCGCAGAGTGTGACCCAAGGGCTTGATTCGGAAATAGCGCACGTACTCCAGGAAAAGGAAGACTGCCAGACATACAGTGGCGGCCACATACAACAGTGGCCGGTCAAAGATGATGCCCGGGACGTAAGTGGCTACCACAATGAAGTGGAAATACTTTCTTGTAATGGTAGGAGCCTTGTGCTTCTTGGACTCAGAAGATGACCGCTTGGCATTCTGGTACAGCACCACCAGGCAGGCCATGGTGGCCAGCAAAGACCAATAGGCTAGGAGGTAGATGCGAGTTTCTGTGTAGAAGAGGAACTGAAGAAGCCAGAGCAGGGGGTTCCTACGAATGAGCCAGTGCAGCCAGGGCAGAACCACACCAAGGCCCAGCACACAGGTCATGAGGTGGAAGAAGATGGAAGAGGCCCAGGTGCCTGAATCCATGAAGACAAAGAGGGTGCTGAAGAAGACACCCATGAGCACCATCCCTACCACCACCACCAACAGGAAGAAGTCCACTGGGTCCCCCTGGCTTTCAGTCAGCGAGCGCTTGATGAGTTGGTTGAGGACGAAGCTAATGCCACCCAATACCAGCAGCGCCTCCCCAGGAGTGAAGCATCGGGGCAGCAGGTACAGCAGGATCATGTTGAGATATACAAATATTAGCAGGACTTCCAGGACCTCGATCACCTCGCCCACACTGAGCGAGTGCTTCATAATATAAATGATAATGCCTCCGGCCAAACCCGAGATGGCACAAGTATTGGTGGGCACCGGGCGAGTAATGCCCAGTGCCAACACCGAGGAGAAGAGGGCCACTGCCATGCCAGTGGCTGCAACCACAATGCCGAAGCGCTCAAAGTATGGGTTCCCTGCAGTCTGGCAGCGTTCCTTCATGACCAGCCCAAGCAAA